ATGTAACAATAAACTTATCTTGTTGTAATTATCAATCCGGTAAACTCCTTGATAATTAGGGGGCCGGATGTGACGGTTCGCCTATAGTACAATAGGTTTAATACCATAAGTACATAGAAAAGAAACAGGGGTTCCTATGGGTGACCGCTGCGAAAGCGGAGTTATTTAATATAAACAAACTTTAAAGTCAAGGTTCACAATAGTATACAGAGAAGACGTTACCATATATGAAATATTGACACAGAAGGGAAACTCCTTTGATGTGTTTCCAAAGTGTAGTGGATGTCACAAGAAAATTAAATAAATTAAACAAAAATATATTATATTTTATATATAACCAAATTATAGTTTACCTTTTTATCATCAGGTGTAAAAAAGATACATACAACACAGTTTAATAAGGTTTATGAGAGTCTTTAAAGTTTTATAAATTCGATAATCGATTTAATATAAAATACCAAAATACGTTAACATATAATTAAATTGAATTTAAAGAAAAGTTCAGTTCGAATAATAGGCTAAATCTGATTATTGAAATATCTACCCTTCGGTGACATAATCTATGACGTTATTAGAGAAAGAATAAAAAAAAAAAGAGGAGGAGAGCCGGCAGATCGGCGGGCGCGCGGGAGTCGCTTTTTAGGAATTGCGCAATAAAAAAAAAAAAAAAAAAAAAAAAAAGATGGCGCAGGAGTGGTGTTTTAAGGAACTGCGCAATAAAATAAAAAAATAACTGGGATATAGATCTAGGAGGGACTGGATCGATGAAGGGGTTTGAGATCTTAGTGTATCACTATCGATTAAGTGTGTGAAATTAATCAATCGAAGACTGGAGTATCCGGTGAGCTTGTTCCATTTATTACTACGTAGTTAGATTTTTGACTGTGATCACAGGCAAAGTTTATACTTAATATTTTTCCCAACAACTATTAAAATACGTATTTAGTCGAGTCCATATACCTTTAGGTAATGCGTATATCGTTAAATGCAATCACATTTGAACAAAGTTTACATCAATATAATTTACGTACTTACGTTATTCTACTCATATACAAAATCCAATTATATGGTCGTTTGATAGAACTTCATCAATTTGATTCAATGTTCTAATTGTCCAGTTTTGGAAAATACTTATTGAATCAACTATTGAACTATTACAATACTAACTAGTTTCATATCTAGTTATTATAAAGTATTTATTTATTGAGGATAATAGACTAAAGTGACTATGGTCTGGTCTCATTGCTGGGGAAACAGCCATTGATGAGAGAGAGGGGTTATTGAGTGGCGACCCTGTAAATGCAAGTGCGGTGTGGGCTACCTCCATTGTTTGGAGTGACTGTTTTATGTGTATTGTGGGGCCGTTCCTTGTGTCAGTCGGTGGAAATTGCCTGTGTTCAGTCGTGGGTTGGTGATGGTTGAGACGATGATGATGATGAAATATTTGTATTTATTACACAATTACAGTGTTGGTTTGGAATATCTGTTCATACTTAACGCTTCATGGTGAAGTGTTTTTATACCATTACTCAGTCGACCAGATTAATGATTCTTAGTCTATATTTGATTATCCATGACTACATGTGGGGATTTGTTTTACACCAGATGTACAAAGAGACAGCTTAACTGTTGCAAGTGATATTATGTGAATGTAATACTTTTAATACATTATTAATTGTGTTACTAAATAAATTCATGTGACTGTGGGGTGTTTATGGTAAACAAGCCTGTATTGTTTAAATAGATATTTTGTCTTGATTTATTATAAACTTTAATATTGATTTTGTTGTAGTAAGCAAGCTGATAATAACAATTCTGTGTGTATTACTGATTACTAATAATATTTAATTATGCTGATATTATAGGTGTGGATTTATTTCCTAATGGTAATAAAAGTACTGAAAGATTCTCTGACTATAGTTGCTCTTGACTAGGTGTGGGGTTCGGTATGGAATTGGTACTGTATGACACTTGTGAGGCTATGTATTTTGCTCATATTTAGAAAGGAAGTTGTCCTGGCGATGGGGTTTGTATGTATGTTGTTTGTTCATGTTATATTGACTAGACAAGTTCGGACAGGGTTAATATTAGTGAATATTTACTGGATTTATATTTAATATACATGTTTTGAATATTTTATGGGAATAGTATGGAGATATACAAGTAGTAAAATATAATATTAGTATTTTATAAATTTAATTATTGAGTTATATGTTTATGTCGGACTGTATCCAAGGAGATATTATCCTATTAATATCAAGTTAGGACAATTACTTTAAATATTAATAAAGCAAACACTAACACTGATTATTCACTTCTTTAATAAATTTACATTAGAGGTTAGGAATCAAATAGATAGCATATTGGGAAATCTTCACCACTCATGTATTTGAGGAATGTTCTTGATAATTAGTACTGTATGTATATATTATTGCAAGTACAATTGCAATAAGAATGTTAAACTTCTAATCTTCTGTTCATTCTTGAATTTGAAAGTAAGCTTGGCTACTGATATGAATATAAAACTGCAGCATTACTGGATACTATTAATTATTTCTGGTGTAAACCATGATTATTTATGTCACTGATAATTTAGTTGTATATTACGGTTGATATATGATGATTTTATATTTAATTATATTAAACAAATACAAATAAACAAACTTGCTAGTATTTGTTACGTTGACAGTTGTGATAGATAATCAAAATTCAATTCAATACATCAATACGTCATTCAATACGTCATTAATGTGACAGATGTCAAACAAAAGGAGATTATACACGTTATGATTCTATATCTAAGTCTATAGAAAATTTATATAATTTTCTGTTATTTTATAATAACTGTAGGGGAAATATTGGAATTATTTATATGAGAAATTTCACTTAAATGATATGATAATTATTTAAAGACCTAATTTCTTAGGGATTTAATCATGATGATTTAAACACTAAAACACTTGTTTATCTGAGAAATCCTCTTAGTAAATAGGTTTACTAAGACACTAAAAGGAAGTAGATATAGTATAACTATAGTACAGCTACAATAATTGTATGGGACTTACTGTCCTTTCTATACAAATATATATTTAATATATATCTTTTACATTATAATTATTCAATATACATCTACTACTCAACATACACAAATAGGACTTATTGTCCTTCCTATATACCTATATATAATAATTGACCTGGCACTTTAATGTGTAATTTATCAGTACTTACGTCAACAACCAATTAGGACTTATAGTCCTCTCTATAAAGCTACATAATTTATTAATCTGATTATTTCACAATGTGATTAATCAAACCTCTACAAATATTACAAAAGATCTCTATTACTCTCAACACAATAATAGCTTGTTGGACTTAGTGTCCTCAAACTTATAGAAAACCCAACTGGTTATTTTACGAGACGTTGTTAACTTGTGATTAATCAGTGTCTTTTAAAGGACTTATAGTTCCTTTAGATATATCTCTCTGAATAAATAATTGGTTAATTCACAATGTGGATAATCAACAATAATATTATATATAATTGACTGGACTTATAGTTCATTCAATAGCACTCATTACTTTTAGTAGCTCTCGACCTATGGGTTGGACTACTCGATCTTAGGCTCCGGCCTAATCAACAGATTTAACTTGAACCTTGAGTATTCTTGGCATTAAGTAAATAATATTAAATTGACAATGCTATGTTATGATATAGCAATTATCAACATTATATGGCTTGGCCAATTCCAGGGTGTGGAAGGTATCCCCTATCACACAAATCTTCATCTCTATCGGACTGTCTTCACAGGTGATCTCTAATGTCACATCATAGGGCCGAAGGGTTATGTCCCAACAAAGTAAGTTCTGGTGTCTGGGTGATCTCGCTTCTTGGTCTGATCTCTTGTGGAGCCGAAGGGAAACCCCCATTGAGTAAGCTCGTAACAGGGTGACGCTGGGAAACAGTTTCGTACTGTTAGTGGGTGATCTCTATGTCGCCATATAGGACTGAAAGGGTCATCGCCCATGAGTAAGCTCTCGTGTCGGAGTGATCCTGGGATTTCAGTTCTGATCCGTTTGCCTCTGGCAAACACTAATTTATACTGGAAGCATCGTGGGGCTGGTGGAGCCACTGTAATGTTGAAGTAAATGTACTTATGTTTGGTTTGGAACTGAGAATACTCATTCCCTTATTACCATCAGAGTGCATTAATAAATAGTAATACCCTTCCCTACCTTTTTGGAGGAAGAGTTATAGATAGTTGGAAAGTCTTCCACTGGTCCGGGCGTGTGAGGGGCCCGACCGCTCCCCCATTTTTATTATTACAGTTATTCTGTAATTTACTATTAAATTAACATAACTTCCTTGTTACATGAATTATGAGTATAATTCATTAATTATTCTTAATCATTAAAGATTTATCAATCATCTTCATTATTTAACTCCTATCATATACCAATTAAAGAACCTTTTGGTTATTACACACACAATGGGTCCTACATTACTAGACGATCACACATTTATTTATCTGGCCAGATGATCAAGTGTTCTACTATAAGATCTGTTCAATATTAAGTGTTTATTGTAAGGGTTTATATGATTCATAGGATGTTTGGGGTGTATAAGGCAATATAGGTATGGGGTTATATTGAGGGTGTTAGGCCATTCTTTAGGGTAAGTTTTCATTAGATTTTCATAGATTTCATTAGGTTAAGCCTTCGTAGGCTTTTCTTAGGCTTTGTAGGTTTTCCATGTGTAGGTTAGTTTAGAGGGTAGTTATTATATAAGGGGTGACACATAGGGAAAGGGGGGGACCATCACAAACATCACCAAAAATCTAACTGTGTTTGCCAACCCACCTGCCAAGCGTGAAAGGTACTGGAAAAACTCCTCTAATGAGAAAGATTTATGTTCAAAAATGGGTAGTTAAGCTAATGCCATAATACATATTGTATGGCATTTCATTATTATTTCAATTTAAATATCTATGCCTATCACTTACTTTTCTTTGTAGCCCGGTGGTACTGAGACTTGTGCGTATGCGCAAACAAATATCACAATCGTACAAATCAGAAATGAATGCATTTTAATCTGAAACAAACTATCACTGTACAAGCATAATTGTTTACAGGTATAACGGAAACAGTAAAGAAGGCAGTGAATATAAC